AGCAGGAGCTGCTCCACAGGCTCTCAGTCTAGCTAATCCAAGCCAGGACTATGTCTAGCATCTATATTTCTGACCAGTTCTTACTTTTCTAACTGAATATATCAAGTTCATATTTATTGCTTTGTAAGGTAAAGGTAAAGGAAAAGGACCCCTGGACAGTTAAATCCAGTCAAAGGCTGGGATGCGGTGCTTATCACGCTTCAGGCCAAGGGAGCTGGTGTTTGTCCACAGACAGCTTTCCGGGTCATGTGGCCAGCATGACTAAACCGCTTCTGGCGCAACGGAACACTGTGACGGAAGTCAGAGTGCATGGAAATGCCAATTGCTATGTAGACTAGAAGTGTCAACCAGTTATCTGTGTAAACCTAGCAGACACATATGCCATTTAAAATGTAGTTGGCCTTCAGGTAGAGATAAGTTCCTTTTGTGTCAACAAAAGATGCAAATCCATCAAATGAGAAACATTTTGCATGATATGCTAATTAAGGTGGACATTACCTTCATTGGAACAGAAAGCATATGGTATTGGTGCCAAAATTTTGCAAAGATGTAAACATAGTTCTCAAATCAATTAAGGTCATCATACTGCTTTATAATTATCTCAACTTGCCCTTCATCTGCTGGATTAAGAAAATTCCTAAGAAGAAAATCACAGACTTTTGCTTGAACACCCTCTGAGTATTTGCTACTATTACTAATGAATCTTTTTTGTAAACTGTTTGAGGGAGTTTTTTGTGGGTTTTATTTTTTGTTTTACAACTAAGCAATGGATAAACTTTATGAAATAACTATATAATGAATGGGATTGTTAACATTCCCATTAACAAGTATTTTATATCAATTTGGCGCTGTGATGTAAACCACAGAGCCTAGGGCTTGCTGATCAGAAGGTCAGTGGTTCGAATTCCTGCGACGGGGTGAGCTCCCGTTGCTCGGTCCCAGCTCCTGCCTACCTAGGAGTTCGAAAGCATGTCAAAGTGCAAGTAGATAAATAGGTACCGCTCTGGCGGGAAGGTAAACAGCGTTTCCGTGTGCTGCTCTGGTTCGCCAGAAGTGGCTTTGTCATGCTGCACGCTGTACGCCGGCTCCCTCGGCCAGTAAAGTGAGATGAGTGCCGCAACCCCAGTATTCCGCGACTGGACCTAACAGTCAGGGGTCCCTTTACCCTTTATTTTTAATCCAGCTGTGAATGTGTGTGTGTGTGTGAGAGAGAGAGAGAGAGAGAGCACGCAAAAGGACCAACAAATTAGCTCCCAAATTTGGTTTATTATTACTGTCTTTTTCTGCTTTATTATTTTGTTGTGTCTGTCAGGTGAATATAAAATACAGGTGAAGACAAACATATGATTTTAAATGTTGGAAGAGAGATTTGAACACAAATCACTAAAATGCAGAGAATGTGTGTTGGGACCACTTTCACTTTCAAATGTTTGGTGTACATAGGAGTAAAAGAGCAGAAAGAATAAAGAAATGACAAAATGAAAGGGAGACCAAAAGGGAAGGGATGGTAAGGAAATCTAATAAGAGACTTGAAGAAGAATGTTGCTGGAGGGCATTTGATGCAAAACAAGCTATGAGTAAGAAGCCACAAAGCATGGCGGGGGGGGGGTATCAGGCAACATCCTGAGCTTTAATAAGTGAATACAGTGGTACCTCGGGTTAAGTACTTAATTCGTTCCAGAGGTCCGTACTTAACCTGAAACTGTTCTTAACCTGAAGCACCACTTTAGCTAATGGGGCCTCCTGCTGCCGCCGCGCCGCTGCAGCACAATTTCTGTTCTCATCCTGAAGCAAAGTTCTTAACTTGAAGCAATATTTCTGGGTTAATGGAGTCTGTAACCTGAGGCGTATGTAACCTGAGGTACCACTGTACAGAACTGTACTTGAGTTTTAGCTCAGCACCTTCATTCCTATTTATTCTTATAATGGTGCTATGGCTCCTTCTGATAGCCCTGCTACTGTCATGGTACGTAATGCCATTACATATTCATCCTAAAACTTTTGCTCTTTTGGGCTTTCTACAGGTGAAAGACAACGTAAATGAAGTGTAGACAATGCAGTTCAAGTTCTGCGGAGCTCTCTTGTTATAGAAGCTTCCATTGCTTGCTTTTTGGAGTCAAGCTAAAACATTTTTAATATCCTGATGAAATAAAATGTTATTTGACCTTGACATAATAAATTGTGAATTTCATTTTATTATGCATTGTCTTCAATCTTTTTATGTGTATTAATTGTTGTACGCCTCACCGTTCTTTTATAATGGGTTATAAATGTTTAGTACAAATATATATATACTAATGAAAACTGGTCCAAAAATGAGTTTTCAGAAGACAGAGGAAAAGACAGAGAAAACTAGACATATTCAAAATAAGGAAAAAAACAGATTAAAGAGAATCTGGATTTTTAAAAAGGTAACGATGAAAAGGAGCTGATAGGAAGCATTAACTACAGCCAGCCATAGTACTGGCACACTGAGTACCTGCTTCATCTGAATATCTCTGCCAACTTACACTCTTCTTGACCTGAAGCCACCCCTTTAATTCTAACACTGGAACACTTTCGTGACTAAGCAGCCTGCTAATTGGAATTAAGTGGCACAGGAAAATGGGCACAGGGATAACATTTTCAGTCTCCCATTTGTCTTACAAGTCATAGAAATGTTAACTTATCTACCTTTAGGGTGGCTTATTATTATTATATATTTATTTATTTGTTAGTTGTCTAATACTGACAGTCTCTATGAGCCATAGAACAAATCTAAAACATGCAAAACACAGGAATAGCATGATAACATTAAAAAGAACACCAGCCTCTAAAAAGAAAAATAAGTATTCTCAACAATTCTTATACATATGATTGAAATCCCCTCCGTCAATTTTGTTTTAAATAAATTCATTTTAAACCCTCCAGGTATCAGTCATACATTCTGATGACAAGGTGGGCAAAAAATAGGTTCAGCAGCAACCAAACGTTGGCAGAAGATAGCTTGTTGCTAGTTTCTGGTAGACCCCTAGCACCTGCTGGTTGTTGGGATTCTTGTTCAGGGAAGTTTTTAATATTTAATGCTGTACTGGTTTTAACACTTGATTGGGAGCTGCCCAGAGTGGCTGGGGAAACTCAGCCAGATGGGCGGGGTATAAATAATAAATTATTATTATTATATTATTATTCCAAATAACGGTGGAGTAAATCTGGCAGCCCCCCCCTTAATATAAGTACTGCTACTTGTATCATATAACATAGGTTAACTTTGCCTTAATTGTAAACAGCACTAAAACACCCACTCTTGCTTTGTGTAAATAAAGGCTTATATTCCATCTTTCCACTATTTAGGTATTCAGTTCTGCATTGAATTTAATAAAATAAGGCTGTCAATTCCAGGAAATGCACCTATACTTGTAAAGTGCCATGCAGATTAATGACACTAACAAAAGACCACAGAGGACAAACACCAACCCACCATCTTTGTACAGCCTCTGGCACATTTCTCTCATGTTATAGAAGTTCACATTGAATTACCGGTAGATGGGATTTAAATTGGTCATCAATTTTTTATTTTACATGGCAAGGATTCTGGGATGAAGCAGCAATGGCTCTGCCCTAAATACTGACTTGTAACCCAGATCTTAAATGGGATTAAAGTTAGTTGTAACAAATTTACATCATGACTGACTTTAGTCCTATTGAATTTCTTGGGCTGCAACCCTAACCCTACCTATCTGGGAGTTAGTGCCATTGAGTTCCATAGGACTTACGGTACTTCTGAATAAGCCATGGTGTAAGTCTATACACCATACCTTGGGTTACAGACGCTTCAGGTTGCATTTTTTCAGGTTACGGACCGCTAAAACCCGAAAGTACCAGAATGGGTTACTTCCGGGTTTCGGCGGTCGTGCATGCGCAGAAACCCTAAATCACACTTTGCGCATGCACAGAAGCACCAAATTGCAACCTGTGCATGCGCAGATGCAGGTTGCGAACGCTGCGGGTTGCGAACGTGCATCCTGCATGGATCACGTTCGCAACCCAAGCGTCCACTGTATTTGAAAGTAATATGAAGGCATATATGTATTTGAATGTACAATTTCTGCACCCCTGTATATGTTCCTGTAGCTCAGGATAACATTTCATACACCTGAAGACTTATTTATTTATTGCATTTATATCCTGCCCTTTTCTCCAGGCAGCTCACATACATGGTTCTCCTGAATGTTCACGTAATCCCCACAACAACCCTGTGAGGTAGGTGAGGCTGGAAGGCAGTGGTTGGCCCAACGTCACCCAATGCGCTTCAAAGCTGAGTGGCGATATGAAGTCCAGTATCTCCCAGGTCCTAGTGTGACACTCTAACCACTACACCACCAAAACCTATGGGGTAAGAAATCTGTTAAGTCTTCATGCAGAGGTAAATTTAGGGGGCTGTGACCGGTTTGGTCGCACTGGGTGCAGAGCCTTGTGGGCTATGATTTACAATGGAGCATGAGAGGCGGAGGGGCACTGAATTTTGGCGTTGCATAGGGTGCCACTGAAATCTAACACAACAAGACCCGCCACTGCTTTGCGGTTGCCACAAGTGCCCTTGCTCCGCTCAGGGTCAGCCCAAGACATTTTGGCACCTGAGGCAGACCTCGAAATGGCTCTCTTCTCCCTGCCCAGGAAGAGTGACAGTAGCAGACTCCGGGCTCTCAAATTTCAGCAGCACCCTGTGTGGCACGAAAATTCGGCACCCACCCACCCACCTCTGGCGCTCTGTTCTACATCATTGTTGCAGCACCCTCTCTGGCACCCAGTATAGCCAAACCGGTTGTGCTACCCGGTGGAGCCCATGGGTGCAGCCAGGATTTTTGATGGGGGGTGGGGCTTTTTGATGGGGGTCAGAACCTCAGATCTGTATTGATTGGGGGGCAGTTCCCCCCTGCCCCCCCAATGCTCTGGAGTACGGCAATATCTACATCAGTAACAAGGCAGGGTGGTGGTGGGGATAGATAGATCGACATGGGGATCTGCTGCTCGGGTGGATCCCGCTACCTGAGGCAGTCGCCTCACCTTGCCGGCCCTGGCTCCGCTTGCGACGCCGAACTAATGCAGCAACCCCCTCAGGATGCTGGATGCGCACGACTCTCCTTAGACTGCCTCAAGCGCGTCTCTTTTCACATAAGGCCTTTTTATCCGGCGACGCCCGCGGCGGGTGAGGCAACACCCAAACACCCCACCTCCTCCTTCACACCCACGCCCGGCCTCCGAGAGGCTGAACAGTGCTGCTTGGCTCGCGTTGGGAGGCTGCAGCAGCAGCGGCAGGCAGCGGCTTCGCGGCCTTACCGCGCGGTTTGACTGACAGCGGGAGAATGTGGGACGACCGTTGGTCCGCGAGATGGTGTCAACTGCCGCGCCGCGCGCCGGCACAAACCAAAGAAGAAGAAAAAGCCACCGCCGCACTTTCGAATCTGGGCGCGCGGAGCAGGGAGGGAGGAGGAGTTGGAGGGGGGAGGAGGAGTCACGCGCAGGTCCACAGCCCTGGCACGCTCCGCTCTGTTTAACAGCCCCCCCTCCCTCCTCCTACCGCTGCCTCCTCCTCCCCCCCCCACCCTCGGGCGCTTCCCTTCCCCATCGCCGCTGTTCCTTCCCGGCTCTACCCGACAGCGTGTGCCTCCTACGTGCGTTCCACTTGGTACGGCCCACCTGGAAGATCATGGCGATTGATGGTAAGTAGGCCAATAACGGGCTCCTCTCCTCTCGAATAACCCCCCCTCCTTCCCCCTACCTGGGCAGCGGGCGCGGGGAGCGAGGGGGAGGGGCGAGCAACGGCGCTGTGGTGCCGGTGGGTGGTGGTCGGGGGGGGCGCGGGCTGCCTGCCCCTGAGGAGAGGCGGCGGAATAAACAAACGCATAAATTAAAAGAATGAGAATTAAAAACAAAACCCAAACCAGGGTGGCGGGCGCGCGGGAATGATGATGAGTGGTCTTTCCCCCAAAGTGAGCGGCGGGGGCGCTCGGGGCGGCTCTCCCCCCGCCCTGTGGTGCCAGGCGCTGCCTCAGCTCGACCCCCGGCAGCGGCGGCCGTTCGCTCCCCGTGGAGTCGAGGCTTTTTTTGTGGGCGCCGAAGACGAGAGGCAGCCGCCTCCGCAAACCCACGCCGATATAATGGTGGGGGTCCTGAATAGTCTGTTTACATGGTGTAGGTGGCTGACTCTCTTCGCTGACGTGTAAAAATTGTCCCCCTCAGGAATAGTAGTTACCACACCGTTATGGACCCGTTTTACTTAGAAGTTCTGTCTGTCTTAGCCCCCCCCCCCCGCCCTGTGCCACAGGCAGCAGCAGCTCCTGGAAGGCGAAAAGGTGCCTCAAGAAGAAGTGGGGCGGAAGAAACCCGCTTTCTTTTTCTCACTTCGCCAAACGCCTTCTGGCAAGCCTTTAATAAGTGCCTGAGAGAAATAAAAACAGCCTCGCAAAGGCTGCCGTCACGCAGCTGGGTTTCAGGGGGGCTGCAAACAAGCAGGGTTCAACGCCCCCCCCTTTTTTCCGCCGCCTGACCCATCTCCTAGAGATGCTGCCCTCAGACCTGGATACAGCTGGTTGCGTGGAGTGTTTCCAAGTCTGTTGCTCTTTCGGCATCATTTGAATAAGAGGAGGGGATATATATATATATATTCTCAAATGATGTCGAAAGAGCAACAGACTTGGGTAGACTTTCAGGCGGACTTTTTAATCAGCTGCTTCACAACTAAAAGTCTGCAAACAAAAAAGAGAGAGGGAGAGAGGAGCTTCTCTTTCCCCACTTCCCAAGGAAGGCAGTCATTGGTCTTTCTGAACTCCATTCTTTTCAAACATACCTTTTAAATTTTGTAGAGTGTGGGAGTATTCAGTGCATTTGATTGACACTGCAGGAAGTTGGGGGGGAGAATTCATTGCTGCTGATGAGCTGGAAAATGTTCTTATTAATATCATGTTCGATTCTTAGAGAGAGATACGGATTTAACACTGCTAATGCCCGTTTACTTGTACTCTTTACATAAAACTAAAGTTTGTCTGAAAATCTTGTCTTCTTTTCCAGTTTTCCTTGCTTCTATTCTTTGAGAATAGTTGGTTTCATGCATTTGACATGCACATTTATCTAGTTTGTGTATTGGCAGTCTGATCCAATGCATGCTTCCTTGAAAATAAGACACAGTTGCTTCAGCAAGTTTTGTTGTTGTTGTTTAGTCGTTTAGTCAAGTCAGACTCTTTGTGACCCCATGGACCAGAGCACGCCAGGCATTCCTGTCTTCCACTGCCTCCCGCAGTTTGGTCAAACTCATGCTGGTAGCTTCGAGAACACTGTCATTATGCATAGGATCTTAGTCTGAATAGGTCCTTTCCCATGTAAGGTATTTAAGACAATTATGGCAGTAAAATAATCCATATGTCATCATTTATGGCAAGATTTGTTCCCTTTAAGCATTGCAAGTGGGAATAGAAGGTGTGATTATGTTCTTGGAAGTGCACATTGGGAAACAATATTTCACAGTTACTCAGTTGAATAACATACTAAGGTGGAATCTACACAAATATAAAAAAGCTGTGAAAATGCTGTTTTAAAAAACGTTTTGAAAAATACATTGAATTTTGCATAGCTCAGTGTTGTCATTAGTATTACATTTGTATATTGTACCTTACAATTCGTTTAAAACATTTTATTTGCAGCTGTATGGACAGAGTAATTTTCTACCTAGCCAACTAGCTTGTGTCTGTTTTATAGTCTTGAAAAGTGTGTAACAACACATGACATTAATAGAGTAGTGCAATCTTTGTTGATCATTTCCAACTATGCTGTCTGGTGTTTTGGCCTATCTTAGAAGGCAGTTATTTGTCTTGATCAAATTAATTAGTAGTCATTGCCATCTTTATTATCCTTGTTTGTTTAACTTGTAGACATTGATTTTCTTTTTTTAAGAAAAAATGAGGGAGATTATCATGCAAATATCTGAATATGTCTTATATCTGAAACTATTTTAATTATTTTTCCAGTTCACCACATTTAATAACAAGAGAACACATATATTATCTGTTAAATTTATATCCTGCATCTTCTTCCAGAGGTGCCTAACACTTAATATTGTTGGGTGTTTTGTTGTTGCTTTTTATTGATATACATCTTGCCTTCATAAAAATGCACTTTTCAGAGCCAGTTACTAAAGATAGGATATTTGTTAAAACTCCTAAATGGAAAATGTATTCTTAAACTTTTGAGAAGATCCTGTAATGAATGGTTCTAGATGTTAATTTTGTTACGTAGAATACAAGATAAATATCAGTGATGGGCCCTTCTGAGTCCCTGAGCCCAACCATTCTGTGCCTGAACTGAGACTTAAGAGTTCCTCTTGGCACTTTTTCTTCTGTTTTCATGGTACAGTAGCCTCTGCAGGTGGAGCAGTGGTTATTACTATGGTCCATCAATTCAAACATGGGTTGCGATTCTGCTTTACAAAACATGTTTCATCATGTCAAACAATAGTTAAGCTTTTTAAAGCATTGTTTGCTAGATGATGCTGGGAGACATTCCTAACACATGGGATGGTAACTCCTTCATTGTGGAACAGGCAGGGTCCTTGTAAGTCTTCTGCCTCTCCTTTGTAGGGAGGAGCCATCCTGCCCTCCAGACCAGAGCTTTGATTAGGTTGGGTCTGACCTAAGCTCTGAAGAGTTCTGTCAGAAATACTTTCGAGTTGCTGTGGGTGTTTTGGGGTTTGTCTTTCCTTTCACCTTCTGTTGCTTCTAAATCTTTTTCTCTGGTCTTCTGTCTCCATGTTGCTTTCTGTTTTATAGTCAGTGTTTGCATTTTGTTGGTTGAAATCTCATTTTTTTCTTGTTTTTCACTTCATCCCCCCCCCATCTTTGGAGGGCAAGTTACACATAGTTTTCATTGAGGGATATGTTTTGTTAGCCCTGGGGTTGCTGTTCTCTGCCAAGCAATCCCTGTGATGTGAGTGCCTTCAGGCACAGAGCTTTTGCAGGTCTTGCTTCCAAAGTTATTGGAAAGGCATTTTGTTTGTGGCTCTTGTGCTATCTCCCTTACAATCCAAAAGGATGCAGTTGGTCCAGTGAGAGCAAGTCCTACACCCTCTATAATCCAGCACAATTGCCTGGGTCAATACTGCTTTTAGCAGCATAATATTGCTGCTTAACTTTGGTGTGGTTTTGTAATTATGCTTGTCATAATCCAGAGCATTAAAAAAAAGGTCCATGGTGCAAATTTGATTGAATAGTAGTGGAAATAGTGAGGTACTGTAAATATAACTACCCCAGTCTCTGAAATTCAGAAATTCAGAAGTATATGCTGTAGATTCGTTCACTGTACATGGATGAAGGGATTTACTTTACATACAGTGAAATAAACTTTCTTACACAATTTCTTGAAATATTGTTGAATCTCTGGCTGCTAAAGACTTAATGAATAAACCTGACTGGTGGGACTGAGGATCACATTTTGTAGTAATTATATAGTATAATATTGTTGCATGCCACCCCAGTCTCCAAGCTGTGCAATATTCCAGGGGTTCTGGGCACTTTCCCAGGGTTTATGTTTCCTTTTGGAAATGAGGCACAGTGGAGACTGTGGTGTCTTTATGATATATGGTTCATTTACACATACAGTGGTACCTTGGTTTGCATACGTTTTGGATTAGAAACACATCAAACCCCTAAGTGTGTGTCCCAGTTTGCAACCTTTTTTTTGGATTGCGAACAAATTTTGGAGGCCCCATTGGCAAAAGCACGCCTTGGGTTACAACCTGTTTTGGTTTACAAACGGACCTCTGGAATGGATTATGATTGTAAACCAAGGTACCACTGTATATACAACCCAAGCCTACAATGTAGGGGATCCCAGCATTAATACCCCAAAAGGATCTTGTTTCTCCCATAGCCACAGCCTTAGATTCAAATAGAAATCAAACATTGCTCTCAAATGTATCTCTGCCTCTCACTCCAGCTTGCTGCTTTATTTCTAGATCACATCACTGTCCTCTCAACTCTCTTCCAAACTTTGGCTTGTCTTTTGAGTGAGGGGGCCCCCACCAATTTGCCATCTCACACCACGCTCCTTAATCACCTCATCAGACAGCTAACTTGGCTTGGTTAGCTTTTAAGACTTGGTGGATCCAGGGATTAGAAGGTTCTGGCACATATCTCAACACCCCAAACTCCTAGCAATATAGTCTTGCATAGTATAGTATTACAGGTATCCACAAATCTACTTGCCAGGGACGAGTACACACAGCAGTCCACAGGCTCGTTTTCAATTGCAATTTTTAAGCAGGTAAGAAATAGCAGGAGTCCCTTCCCAACCACATAAGAAAGACTGCTGCTGTTTCTTATCTTACCCATATGCTGCCAAAATATGAGATGACCCTGCATCTCAAGAAATGGGAAGTGACTGGTGACAGGCACTAGTAAGGGCTGGCTAGTAAGCCAAGCCAACATTTTTGGACACTTAAGTATTGTAAATGTACAGATGGCTTTTGATTGGGTTACTTGCTCTGGGGAACAACTCATTTTCATTAGCTTGAAATTTCATTCTGTCCAGTAAAGTACTCTGTATAACTGCAAAGCTTACATACTTAAGTACCAAGGTAAATTGCTCCAATATGAGTTATAATTATAATTTAGATATTTTGAATCTACTGTTATCTATTGAGGATAGAATAAGAAACTAATAACCATTTGATACTGTAAGTAAGTTTGAAGGTCTTTCAAATAATTAAAAATACCATTGGATGATTATTAAGCCTGCCTAAGATAAGTTTATGAATACTGAAATATATTGTATCGTTTCCCCACTTAATTCTCTTTCTATGAACAGGTGGTGAAAGACCTTGTGGCGTACATGAACTAATTTGCATTAGAAAAGGTAAGCAACTTCTTTGAATACTTTTAATTATGTAAACATTTTTTAAAATAGTGGAACAGCCTAGAAGAGTTAAGGAAAGAGCAATCCAGACCCTTATGTTCAGCTCTCCTCAGCTCAGCTGGTCTCCCACTGGCTGCTGAATGTCCCCACCAGTGGGGGCAGCACACAGCCCTGGAATGGGGCATTCCAAGGTTGTGAAGAGGCTGATGCTGAGCTGGCCCAAGATCTGCTGCCTCACAACTGTTGTATGTCAGCATTGGACCTAGCCGTTGTGCTAGCTGGTAGGTGGCATAGCAATCAGGTCTGAATTGGGCCCAGTTGTCCTGTCTCTTACTCTGCTGTTACTTCCATGAGTGTTAGGACTATGGATGCAGTGGTTGTTCCTTTACTCTGCAATCAGATTTCCAGGAAGTTGCTTCAAATTCAATCTAGTTGTGCTTAAGAATGATTTCTATATTTTTGCATGTAGTAAAGCCTATTTCAGGCCAACTTATCTCCTGCTGTCTTCATGTGAGAAATGCTTGCTACAGAGCAATTTGTATAGCCACTGTAGTGTAGTGGACAGAATCTTAGATTTGGCCTGGGAAAACCTTGGTTCAAATCTCCTTCAGCGTGAAGTGCTGCTGGCAAAAATTTGGGTGAAAGATGACTGGTGGGCCATTTCAAAAGAATTGAAAGGCAAGACCTGGTCCAGAGATGGACAGTTTGTCACACCTCCCTTTAAGGAAGGACATAATACAAATGTGATAGAATAAAAAAAAACCACTTAATTATGAATTGTAGGGTCATCTAGTCCAACCCCCTGCAATGCAGGAATCTCAATGAATGAATGAAACCTTAATTAAGCTCTTTTAAGCATGCCAAAGCACTAAAGTTGTCCGGTGGAAATTATTTTATTCTTTTCTTCTTCTTCTTGCATGGCAAACTCCCATTCAGTATCACAATCTGCATTTGAAAATTTCAGTTTCAAAAGAGGCTTGCAATGCAGCATGGGAATTGCTGTTCCAGAGACACAACTCAAAAGTCTATTTAAATGCATAGCCATAGTTGTATGGTTCTTTGGATCCAGGCTATAGGCTATATGTGTCAAATCTTAATTGTAGTGCAAGTTATTTATTTTACTTATTTAATTCATTTATAGACTGCTTACTGTCAATAGATCTCAGAGTGGTTTACATTTAAAAAGTCCAAGTACATACGTATTCAGTAAGCCCATTCTCCTTTCAAGTTTAAATTAAAATACTTGGAAAATATAACCTATTCAAAATACATGATTGATTTTGGTGTAAAACATTTTGCAAAACAACCCCCAAAAGCACACTTCTGTTGCTAAGAAAAACAGAAAACTAAAAGGCCTGAACCTGAGATAGGCATAAGATGCCATCTGAATGCTTGTGGCCCACAAATAGTATCGTGTAAATTAATTCACAGCCAAGGTGTATACGGAAGGGTTCACTCCTAATAAATTCCTTTTTGCAAAGTTTTGTGATGATTCCATGTTTGTCTGATACTACTCTGACATAGCACTTTGGTGCTGAGATAAACCTGTATTTATCCAGGCATTTGTGGGATGTTACTATGCTGCTCTTACTGATATGCCAGACTTACCAGTATATTCAAATTGTTAGCTGTAAAATGTATTGTAGAGCTAACCCAATGTTCCACTGTACTGGAAGCATTGTTCCTTTTGTTGGTCTGTCACCACCTCTGACACTTGAAAGGGGTAAAGCTAATCAGCAAAGAGGCCTAAATTCCAATAACCTGTGGGATAGAGAGAGAGTTTTGAAACTATTCTAGACACTCCTGCCCCTGTTTAAATAATTAAGACTGAATGGATGTGAGGAAACATATTTTTATCATTGTTGTAAGTTGCCTTGAGCATTGAGAATAGGAAGTAAAATGGTTAAATAAATATTTTAAGCATTAGCAAAATAACTTTGTCATCACCAGTTTGTTTTTTAGAAGGTATGAAACTAGATATGTTTTTTCTTTTAGTCTGTTATTATCATAATGCTTGTGTTTTGAAAGCCATTTACTAGCTCTTTAATAAATCAAGATTATATAACCCAATGAAACTAGATAGGTACTTGGCTATGGTAGATTGAATTTCCATTGGTAACAATCAACTGAAATATTGTCTGGTGATTTCCAGCTTAAAAATGTTGCATAGTGTAGCTTTGTCCACTCATTTCCATATGACATATTGTTTATTAGACAACTCTTAAAGAAGTAGTAGTAGTAGTAGTAGTAATAGTAATAATAATAATAATAATAATAATAATAATAATAATAATAATAATTCTATCCTGACTGAGTTGCCCCAACCACTCTGGACAGATTCCAACATAGAATAAAAACACAACAGAACCAATTTTGTTATGTATTAATAGCAAAAATGCCATATCCTCCAAAGTATCTTAACAAATGAAAGTAGGGTCACACTTCTAACCTTTCATGTCTGTCATGTCCCTGTTTAAATGCCCTTAAAGCAAGCAAGCAAGCAAGCCAGCAAGCCAGCCAGCCAGCAAGCAAGCAAGCAAGCAAACAAACCCCAAAACACAGTTGTAACCTTATGGCATAAACTGGGAATTGCTCTATCCACTTGAACATTTTGGTTATCCTCTTTTTAATCTCTCCCCGCCCGCCCCTAGTTCTACATAACTTTTTGAGATGGCATGCCCAGAACAATACAGTGGTACCTTGGTTCTCAAACTTAATCCGTTCCAGAAGTCCGTTCCAAAACCAAAATGTTCCAAAACCAAGGCGCGCTTTCCCATAGAAAGTAATGCAGAACGGATTCACCTGTTCCAGACTTTTAAAAACAACCCCTGAAACAGCAATTTAACATGAATTTTACTATCTAATGAGACTATTGGTCCATAAAATGAAAGCAATAATCAATGTAAGGTAAAGGTAAAGGGACCCCCATGACCATTAGGTACAGTCGCGGACGACTCTGGGGTTGTGGTGCTCATTTCACTTAATTGCCTGAGGGAGCCGGCATACAGCTTCCAGGTCATGTGGCCAGCATGACTAAGCCGCTTCTGGCAAACCAGAGCAGCACACGGTATCAATGTACTGTACTATAAAATAAATAAGACAGCATTGTAGATGATAAATATTAAAATTATTTTTTTCTCTTTACCTGCACTGATGATAGTCATTGTTTGGATGGGGGACTTTTATCCATTTCCACAGTCACACAATCAACCAATAAGTAGCTGAATTGGGTTCCACACAGTCACAAAAACAAATTAACCAAATAAGCCTCAAAAACAAAAATGCAAAATAAATAGCAAAAACAAAAGCTCCAAACTTAATCTGCTCCGAAGTCCATTTGACTTCCAAAATGTTTGAAAACCAAGGCACAGCTTCTGATTGGTGCAGACGCCTCGGAAACAATAGCCAACAGCCGCATTGGACGTTTTGCTTCTGAAAAACGTTAGAAAACTGGAACACTTACTTCTGGGTTTTCGGCATTTGGGAACCAAGGCATTTGAGAACCAAGGTACCACTGTACACAGTACTGTACCTCAAAGCATGGACACACCATATATTTGTATTTTAATTATGTGATGCTGGAAGTTTTATTTTTGATTCCTTCCCTAATAATAGCTATCATGCGATTTACTTTTTTCACAGCTGCAGCATCCTGGTCAATTGTTTTCATTGAGCTATCCACCACAACCTCGAGTTATTTTTTGGTCAGTCAGTGCCAGCTCAGACTCCAAAGTTGCCTTGTAAAGTTAGGATTTTTTTCACCATGAAATGTATCACTTTGCTGTTACTTTCACTGAACCACACTTTATGTTATTTATTTAACAAGTTTCCCCCCCGTTTAAACAACAAAAACCTCTTTTGTTTTTAAGTTTTACATAAAGCAGTACAAAAATTCATTAAAACACCAATAAAAACAGTAGGCAAAGTAAAATGTATCAAAATATAAGTCAAAGTCTGTAGTTTTACAACAAATAGATGTAATAAAATTATATGTCTAGTAGGTTTGCCTAAGCAAATAAGTTTTTAGCAGTTACCAGAAACTACAGTGAGGTTTTCATCATTAGATGACACTTGTCAATGTGCCAGCTTTGCAGATTGAACCATTTGAGTGGGTAAGATAATTTCACCTTTTTATTGCCTATTCAGCCAGTTAGGAGAGCTCTCTTTGGAGTTTTTTTGCTTTTTTTACCATTCTGAATAACTTGGTGTCATCAGCAAACTACCATCTTATTGCTTATGCCTAGCTCCAGATAATTAATGAATAATTTAAAAAGTTCTTGTTCCAATACAGTTCCTTACCTCCCTCATTGTGAAAACCATCCATTTGTGCTCTGACCTCTTATCCACTAGCTTCTAAGTTTACTTTGGTGAAGGAATTAGTCAAACACTTTTTGAAAGCAGAAGGATAAAATGTGCTTGTTGTCACTGTCAAGGAGCTCTGAACAGAATAGTGAGGCAGACTTATTTCTGCAGAAAGCACATGAGGTTTTTCCAGCAAAACTTGTTCATCTCAGCACTTGGTAATTTTATCTTTAACAATATTTTAAGTGTATTTAGAATATACTTTAAGCTAACAAGTGTGTAATTTTTTGGCACCCCCAAATCCTTTTAAAAAAGTTATTATACTGGGCACTTTCCAGTTCTCAAGTATGGAGACTGATTTTATTTCAAGATCAGCAATTTCACATTTGTGTTTTTAAAGAACTTGTGGATGGGATACCATTAGAATCTGCTAATTTTTTAGTTGTCAAGGCTTTGAAAACTAGCAATACAATTTTAAATTACCTTCCAATCGAAAGGTACTAAATGTAAGGAATGTAGGACAGATACGATCTGATCACAGTTGCTTAGAGCAGTAAGTAACTATGCTATTCTGTTATGAACAATTTAGTTCATAAAGCAGCATTACTGGAGGCCCATATAGGAGGAAATAGCAGAAACTGAGCTTTGTGACCACCAGAGACCATTGGGGCAAAACCACCACAGGACAAATAAAATCACAATTAGCACATCAATCTCAAACTCGGTATTCAAAATTTGAAGATGATGACGACCCACTTCCTTGATCTGAACTTGTCAATGCAAAAGAAATTGAGGACATTAATATCGTGCCCTTCAGACCCTCATATTGCACCCTTCATACATTCCCCACCAGTCTCCCCAGCAGGCCAGCACCCTTCATACATTCCCCACCAGTCTTCCCAGCAGAGAAAAAAGTACTATGATGCAAAGGGGTAAGAGATATGTTATGTTTACCTATGGCACTCTTAAGTGTCTGCTACTGAATCACTTGGGTGTAGAACAGCACATAGAGGAACACATTTAAATCTCTTTGGAGCAACACGTAATTGTTCTTCATTAGTGATTCAATCTCATCTTGTGGATATAAATTTTGTAGGTATATTTTATTCAAGAGGCAGTTCATGTTCAGTCATTTCTGATGAGATGCAGCTGTAAGGTCCAGTGTAATCATAATGGCTAGCTGTCCTTGATCTAAACTCTTCAGCAGATCAGCCATGCCCATAGAAAGTTTGAGGTTACAGAATTAAAAAAATTGGGGATAGTAGGTCAGTGCACCTGGAATACGGCTTGGAGGCACCTATTATTAAGGGGCTAAAAAGGTCAGATTTGTGTACTAGTTATTGCCATGACTATGTGCTAGTTAGGGCTGGAATAACTGCTGTTCCTTCTGAGGTGGTGATTCAGAAGTGGGAGAAAATTTGGTAAGGCTCATGCAGTGACTGCTCCCCATGTGTTTCCTCCTTGTACGTGCGGAAGAGCTAAATATACATGCCACCTCTGGCAAATTATTGTGGGTCCACTTGGGTCTTAGACCAACTTACCTGGGAGTAAGTCCCACTGAACTCGATGACATCATAACTGAAGTAACATATATGAGTGCATAATGCCCTTCCTCCCAATAAGACCACTAAGTTCAGGGTCTAAAATTACCTAGCTGCACCACTGGCACAGTTTCTTCCTGAAATAGACCATTCCTTAAATTGGGGCTTATGACCTCTCTGTGTTCCCTTCCTCTCCCCCTTTTCCAAGCCTAAAAAGCCTTACTTTATAGTTTGTGTACATCAAATGAATTTTATATGGACTAGAGAAAATGATTATAACTACAATCCTATAACTCTCACCAGTAAGCAAATACCAAGGAAATCAATGGAAATCAATGGGTTTACTCAGAACTGAGTAGACATGTAGAGAATTGTGCTGCGTGAAGGCATTCTTGATTGCGGTGCACACTTAGCTGAAGTAAGCCTCACTGAATACAATAAAACTTACTTTGAGGTAAAAATGCATAAGATTGTGCTGTAAATTCAGACTTCCGCTTGTTTTGTGTTTATTTAACAGTAACCTTATTAATTTTTAAAAAATAATATGAACTCCTAATTTATTTTCATTGAATTTTATTTTTAGTTTTTATCCCATCACTATATCATATACTTTATAATACGTATTTCAAAATGTATATTAAGGTTTTGTGAAAGTCTTAATTGCTTGATGGACTCAAATTTTATATTACAAAAAGGGCTAATTTTTGTTTAAATCTTTGTTAAACTTACGGACTTTGAAGCAAAAAAGTAATTCAATTTCTTCCCCTCCCCCTTTTCATCTAGTTTATAGACCATCTGCTGGGTGTAGTTAGAGCACATGAAAGTGCGAAGGATGGTAGAGAACGAGACAAGCAACTTTGACATAGGTAACATGTCTCAAAAGAAACAAAGCAAAGTAATCAACATTTCCCATTGAATTTGTGGTTCAGATATATTAAAAGAGTAAAGATGACTAGGATTTCTTAGTTTTAAACTATGGATAAAATATTTTCTGTGAAACCAAAATTATATAGCGTAAAGTAAGTTAGATGCTGACTGTATCGGAATATTGCAGTAAACCTGCTGTTTCCGTAGCACAAATAGGAGCAACAAACCACAGTCCCTGGATTAGAGTTATGTCTGAACTAGCAACTGTGGTTTGATTTGCTTCACATGAATTACAATCTAAAACCAAAATTCGTTTTTGGCTTTCTGAGCATGACTTGTTCAAGAAAAACAATCCACCATCTTTGGGTCGGATGTAATGCTAAGCCAGGGATAATGGTTTATTGCTTTTGTTTGTACTAGAGCAGGATCAGATTTGGAATGATCTGTGTCTTATGTGCAAAGAGGACCAATGTGTGTATAACTATAATATAAAAATTTTGTTTTTGGAAATATAATGAATAATTACAATACTTAGTGCTTCAGCAAAATTTGAGGGTAATGTTTTTAAAAGCATTGAACTTCACGGAGCTGGATATAATATAAAAAGTTCAACAGTGGAAAAAAAGCTTGCTCCTTTCTTGAAGGTAAAGGAATATGTCAGAGACACTTTAGTACAGTAGTACCTTGGTTGTTGAACTTAATCCGTTCTGGGAGTCCGTTTGACTCCCGAAACGGTTTGAAAACCAAGGTGCGGCTTCCGATTGGCTGCAGGAGCTTCCTTCACCCAATTAGAATCTACGGAAGCCGCGTTGGACGTTCAGCTTCCAAAAAAGTTTGCAAACTGGAACAGTATTTGGGAGCTGATATGTTCAACAATTAAGCCATTTGACAACCAAGGTACCACTGTAACAGCATTTCAACTTGGAGGATCCCTTTAAGCCTGTCATAATTTGTGGTGTGGCTTGTTTGCTTCCATTTTGTGGCTATTTTCATAAAACCTGTAATTTGTCCCGCTAATGTGGTATGGGAATTGCTTAGTTGGGTCACATTGAATACAAGTAACATTTGTTTACAGGAGTCTTCTGAAATCAGTGGATAATGTGGTTACTTCTCACACTAGCACTAGTATTGTGGTGTTGATGTAGGTGTAATCATATAATCAAACTGTTCCATGTGGTTCCTAGAAATAGACACTACTGGTGTGGCATGTGAGTCATCTATGCAGAATCTCTCTCACATTTCAGTGGTTGGTTACATATAAATTGGCCCTGAGTTATGAATGAGGCTGAATGTAATGTAGAATGCATCAGACGAATACCTTAGAGATGTTGAATAATGTAGAGCATGACTGATCCTGCTCAACGCAGGTATTCCATTCCCCAGGGTTCTGTGGTTAAGCAGTAGCAATTAAATGTTTCTTTAAATATTTTCATTGTCTTGTGGTCACAGTTTATTTGTTTAGCTAGAGATTTCGGTTGGACGTAATCAATAATCTGTCATTAAAGTTATTTTACTTAATTTATGTGACGCAATTATGTGCATTTGCATCTCACTAAAATAAATACAATAAATTCATGTAATTGCATCAGCTTGCTGATTTCTAGAGAGATAATTTACTATTTATTGTAATCCGTTGATCATAAATAAGGATAATCATAACAAAAAAGGACAAATCCTAAATTTAGAAATGATGAGCCATTAGATGAGCTTGTTGCATGGGTCAGTGCTCATTACTTTTTATAAATCTAAAATAATGTTTATCTTCATAAAACAGGAAAGTATGATCCATCTTAAATGAAGCACTTTGAAGGCCTGTTAGTTTCAGTTGGAGTTAGGCACTTGCTCAGTTCCCTCCCTTTGAAATTAATAGGATTTAAATATGTTGAGCTGTATCTGGATTCCACCCAATATTTGAGTAAGCAATCAAAGTCACTATCTGTGGTACTTATTTAGTGGGAACAGAATATTCAAAGTGTAGGTTTTGCACTTTGTAATCTAGTTGACCTATAGTGCCATCTAATGGCTAATTTATGAAATACGTTAAAAAATTTCCCATGAAAACCATGGTCTAATAATGAATACTGTGCAAAATAATACAGTGGTACCTCAGGTTACATACGCTTCAGGTTACATACACTTCAGGTTACAGACTCCACTAACCCAGAAATATTACCTCGGGTTAAGAACTTTGCTTCAGGATGAGAACAGAAATCGTGCTCTGGCGGCGCGGCAGCAGCAGGAGGCCCCATTAGCTAAAGTGGTGCTTCAGGTTAAGAACAGTTTCAGGTTAAGAACGGACCTCCGGAACGAATTAAGTACTTAACCCAAGGTACCACTGTACTCTATATAGGTTGCTTTTGGCCATCATAGAAACCATCGAAATCAGTGGACTTAAGTTAGTAAAGACAAGCTTATTTCTGTTCATTCTGGGATGGCTGCTCTGAGGATGAGTTAAGCAGATAAAGCCTATTTTTCATTGCAAATTATATTTAATAGATTTTCACATCTGGTTCCCTGAGCCTGAGTGAGCACAGAAGTGAAAAATACTTTTGGCTGTGTGTACACTGAAATTACAACTGCAGTGTAATGGTTAGAGTTTTCACCTGCTGTCTCAGAACTAATACTTTGTAAGAATTTGAGAATAGTCTTTTTAAAATGAGCAGTATTAATTGATAATAATCTGAAGCTGCCAATAATTATTAAAAACTTTATTTTTTATATGGGACAGTGGATGTCACTACTAATGTGAACTACTAAACTATGGTTGTCATAAAGAAGATCTCCCTGCCATGTTTTTAAACATGTGTTTGAAACGTATAAGCCCAGATTACCCATGAGTTCAGAAGGCTGCAGAAATTGCAGTAGCCCCATACTTCATCTCTCACGGGTTGAGGTGTGGGCTGACATACAGTGTGTTAGTAAGCCAGCATACTAGGATAGTTGGCATATGTGCCTTCACCTGCTGTCACCACTGCCTGGTCAGGTAATGACTTGATTAAAAGAAGAGAAGGGAGCTGAAGTGGGGAGTTGATGGGGAGGGTTCTTTGGGGACCAAAGAGGGCTGACTGGAAGGAGGAATGTTTTCTGAACCTTGGTTTATTTCTGAATCAATTAAGGCAGTGGCCCACTTGCACATCTCTGCTGTGAACTTCTGTTTGTCTGCTTGCTGTGAGCAAGTAACATAAGCTTCTAGGAATATGCCTCTTCCATTGAAACGGACTGCCTTCCATTGAAAGGTAAAGGTAGAGGTAAAGGTACCCCTGCCCGTACGGGCCAGTCGTGTCCGACTCTGGGGTTGCGTGCTCATCTCATCTTGTGCCATAGTTTCAGTGATACATAGGCGCCAACTCCATGGGGCCTGAGGGGGCCCGAGCCCCCTCAAAAATTTTATTGGGGGGGCTCTGCCCCCCAATAATTTAATTTAAGAAAATTATTGGGCGCGCGCAGCGGAAACGTCCTCCGCCGGTGACGTCACCCGGGCCTTGCGGAAAAGGCGCTGCGGGAGTTGCTGCCGCCGCGGCGGAGCCGCTGCAGAAGGGTGAGTGGCGAGGGCGGGACGGGGCCGCGCGCTCCTTTCCTCGGCTGCCCTCGTCGCGCGCCTTGGCTCCCGCGGCCGGCGAGGGGAGCCCGGGCCGCGCGCGGCTGCTGCCGCCGCCGCCGCCTCTCCTGGGGGCGCCGCCTCCCCGGGCGGGAACGCTGCGGGTGCGCAAGGGAGGAGGGCGGCCCCCGGGGGCTGGGAGAGCCGGGCTGCCGTGGCCGAGAGGGCTGCTCTGCCGGGCGCCGCTGACATTGGAACTTAGAAAACTTCCCGGGGCAGGACCCCGGTATGGGCCCCCCCAATATTTTTTATAAGTCGGCGCCCCTGCAGTGATATCTGTGCTACCCCTTTAACACTGGGGCTGGTCTCTGGGATAACATTATTGCAGATAATGATTCTGTCTCTGTCTTAAATGGTCACTGGCCTATTAAGCCAAGAAAGCAAATAAAGAAGTACACATATTGCCAATAGTGACTTTGTTATTTTGTTGCGGCATGTATCCAGTGGGTAAATGGAGCAAAGGTTGGTTAAATACCCTTTGATTAATGAGGATCTTTAGAAGCAGCTGAAATAAGAACTTTTTTGTACTCCTTTGTTATACAGTGGTACCTCGGGTTACATACGCTTCAGGTTACATACACTTCAGGTTACAGACTCCGCTAACCCAGAAATAGTACCTCGGGTTAAGAACTTTGCTTCAGGATGAGAACAGAAATCGTTCTCCGGCGGCGCGGCGGCAGCGGGAGGCCCCATTAGCTAAAGTGGTGCTTCAGGTTAGGAACAGTTTCAGGTTAAGAACCTCCAGAACGAATTATGTTCTTAACCCAAGGTACCACTGTATGCCTATTTTAAACTTTTAAAATTCTATACTATTGTGAAAGAAATGAAGTTATTTAGTTATAATGAATTAATTATTATATAAATTAAATACCAATACTGTATTTGATACCTTAACACTGTAAAAACAGCATAACTTTTAGTACTAAGTAGCATTCAACTAAATAATTCCACAAGCGGAATGAGTTCCATTTGTGCAAAGGGACTTAACTCCTCCTTACATCCCATGCCATTCCCAAATCTGCTCTCGAGTGCTGGGGTAACCCCCAAAACAGATTTAGGGAATACACAGGTGAGAAGAGAGAGGGTGAACATTCCCTTGTGCAAGGAGAATCCTTGCTCTCATGGAACACTCCCCTTAGTGCTACTTTGAATACAACCCGTTGAATTGTGTTTTTTAAAATAAGTGTATGTTCATTGACCATCATGGGGTTTCAGATCAAGTACCAGTTTGGCTTGTACACAAGGCAGATACTATTGCATTGACCACATTAATAATTAAACTGTCTTGACATGCAGTAAGATAAATATATAGTTTCATACACTATTGGAGCAATTGAACAGTCAACACTTTATGTAAGTAAAAAAAGAAGTTTATAAATGTTTTTTTTAAAGCAATTACCCTTCCTTAAAATTAAAGGTATTTGTTTTGGTTTAATGCTTGTGATACTGCTACTCTTCAAAAATACTTTTCCAGTATGTTTGAAATTACTTTTGGAAAGAGATAAAAACAAATTTAAATATACAACATATGTTGATTTTTGTGACATAGAAAACAAAAGTCCTAATATAATGACATTTAATTTATGGTAAGCTGCCAAATACTAATTTTGTTAGCATAATTTATAACCTTTGAATTCATTGCTAGTATTTACAGTACATTACAATATTAATTTCAGTGAATTTCTTTCACCTGTTATTGAAATATAATAATGTTCCTTGAATTACTTTAGTTCATTAGATAGAATTTACATTCTTTTTGTCATTGTGCATCTGCTATGTTGAATAAAACTGTTCAGCCTCATAAAAACAGTTCTAAGATAGTCTTTACAAAATCTGTTGTATTTTGAAAGTTGTAATACTTTTCAAGAAGCAATTAATATTATTGTGGGTCATTAATTAGGATATAACATTAGCAATATTTTTAATGGAGTGCATCCTCTGCATAATTGTGTTAAATTCCTTATATTTAATTTTATGAGAGTTACTATTACTATCTGTCCGTAAAATAATTGTGCTTAATAGTTAATTTAAGAGAATTAAATGCTTAATGTTAAATAGTGGAATGCAAACAGCATAGTATACTGTACTGTACATAATCCCTCATGGGGTTATAGAAATGCTGGTTACAGGTTTAAGAAAACTATCAGAATAGTCATGTCTTTCACATGTGATAAAATCAGGCTGCTTATAGTCCTAAAGATGGGTTCATGTATGCAAATTGATACAAGATAGATAATTCCAAATACTTGCATTTGGTGTTAAGGTAGATGAATAATTAATTAGTCTAGCTGAAGCTAAGGTATCATTCTTTCGTAAGGTATTAATTGCTGTATTCTCTAAACCTCAGAAAATGACTTTAGATCTATAATTGATATTATCATATTAAACACTAAATTTAACATTTAGCTAATAAGCAAACCAGCTATGCTCTGTGGCTGAAAAAAGTGTTATCCTATTGGGACAGTGCCCTTGCAGAAGAACTATACAGGTAGGAGTAACTTCTGCAATAAAATGGGGCTAGTCACAAATTCAAGAATATGTAGTTAATCACTTACCGTATTTTTTGCTCTATAGGACTCACTTTTTCCCTCCTAAAAAGTAAGGGGAAATGTGTGCGTGTCTTATGGAGCGCATGCAGGCTGTGCAGCTATCCCAGAAGCCAGAACAGCAAGAGGGATTGCAGCTTTCACTGTGTAGCAATCCCTCTTGCTGTTCTGGCTTCTGAGATTCAGAATATTTTTTGTTTGTTTTCCTCCTCCAAAAACTAGGTGTGTCTTGTGGTCTGGTGCGTCTTATAGAGCCAAAAATACGGTACCTTTTTACTTTTACTTTTTAAAAACCCTAATAACTATTTTATGCATTTGGGTTCTAACAGACTCCAAAGATTATGAAATATGTACCCTTTTACAAAAAAAGGGTTTGAATTCAATTGTTCTGTGATCTTTCAGTGCTTTTCACATGATGATGTTGTTGTTTTAATTGATTATTTCTGTGCTGTGGCATTATAGTCCGTCAAAGTAAATAGGGGCAAATGAAACACTGCATGCTTGAAGGCATTGGCCACAACTTGATAAAAAGTCTATTTAAACAGCAAGTATTTTTCATAAATTTGATGCAGCATTTAAAGCAAGGCATTGTTAACACTTTAGAGATGAAAACAGGGCTGCATGCCAGTGGCAGGCATAGCTAAAGTGAATGTGGAAGTACTCAAGTTGGTGTGGCCACCCCAGATTCACAGTCTCTTGCAGTCACAGACTTGCAGACATACAAAAATGCATGCAAGTCCCTCTATAGTGGTTGCTCTGTACTACAAGCACTAATCCTTAATGAAACTTCATACAATAAAATTAGAATTGTGTGTCTAGACCCTTGGAAGACTAAACGTTAGAACTTCAGAGGGTTTTGGATGGCCACTAGTCAATCTGGAGGCAAGCAAAGAGAACAGGAAGCTGGAGTGAGAAAGCAGTGGCTTCAAAACCAGGTCCAGGTTACTGACAGGTGTGGGATCCAATCAACACATTAAACATGCACTGGCTGTCAATTTGTTACCTGACCAAGTCAAAGATTTTACTATATATCTGTAGTGGACATTAGAAAGCATGTGTTGAATTCATTCCCAGTGACAGGTTCCACATAGATATCCATGTGTGGTAACTGTTTATTTGCAGCAAAAAAAATTCCTGGTTATAATCCAAAAGGATGTGATTTTAAACTTTGATTTAAACATTATGTTCATTAATGGGTCACATTGCTTTTATGAAATACAAAAGTAAACACAATTCATAAAAGTAGACATAAAATTGCTGTCGTATTCAGCCAAAGCCACGTAGATTTCACAATTGGCATGATGGGGATATATACACACATTGGTCTTGACAGTAGATCTGTGATTGATTACTTGATTGAAAGTAGGCTGAAAAATTATATTGTAATGAAAATGATGGCAATTAATATTTATTTATTAAGGGTTTTTATTTTATTCTTTTAACTCTACAAGGCAAATATATAAACAATATGATAATATAATAAATGTTAGCAAATAACTTAAAGAGCAAATAAATGAAACAAGGTAAAAGAGTTAAATAAAACATTCAAAGCACCAGCAGTTGAATTCTATTCTATGAACTCTGTTGAGCCTAAAATAAAACCATGTTGGCCTGATGCCTAAAAACTAACAAAAAAGAAGCAAAGCAACTTCCCTGGGTATGGAGTTCTACAGACTTGTTACCACCACTGAAAAGGCAGTGTGCCCATGTAACCACTTGAATGAAGGGGAATATGAAACTAGGCCTCTTGTTTCATCTTCTCCCTATTATGTACTTGCATGGAAGTTTGGGTCTGGGTGTGATTTACTAACAATCTAGTTTAATGAAATGTGTTGGCTTTCCATTCTGGTCATTGTTTGTGTTTTTTCTAGTATCTCCTGAGGCAGTTGGATTTCTGTCAGCAGTTGGACTGTTTATTATCCTGTTGTTGATTCTTTTTCTATATATTAACAAGAAGATGTGTTTTGAGAATGTTGGAGGTTTCCCAGACCTCAATTCACGATACAATGCCAGAAAAAATTCACAGGACAAACTTTGTAAGTATCAAATTCTATGGTCTATGGCTTTGAAAGACTGCAAACCCCTGGTGTAATATCATATGAATAATGTTATGTAGGCATAAAAGTTTGACTTGAATAAAATAAATATCTTATATAGTCCAAAATACTTTTACTAATCCATCTGTAGTGCTTAGTCAGAATTTAATGGCTTTGGGGTCTGTTGAATGTTTTGTAAGGGGTTGACATTTTAGATAGTGGAAAGAAACAAATGGTTTTATATTTCCCAAATATGCTTAATAAGAATAATTAGATCACAGCTTTTATATACCAGGAAACCATATTTTCTCAATTATGAGGGACAAAATCTTAGATATTTCTGAATCTCAAAAGTGGTAGGACAAACCTCTTTTATTTGCAGTGTATCATTCATTAAAAGTTAGAGGGAAAACACACAATAATCATATTTGAACTGAATTATATTCCATGACCGCAGTTCAACATAGAATTTAGACTGCATAAACTTGTTGATTTTACTGGGGTTGTATGCTTATATTTGTACAGAATTTGTACAGACTGTTGGCCATGAGTACAGAATTATTGTGGTCTGGGTGAATACAATGTTAAGAATGTAGTCTAGTGTTAAGAATTATGTTTTATGGTTTCTTAATAACTGATACAATGTGGGGTATATGCTAGTGTTTTGAAACAATGTAGTATATCTGTCTTTATAATATATTATTTAAATACGTTTAAACTTTTTCTTTGCAGGTGTAGAGTAAATTCAACAATTTACATATAATATTTAAAATGTCTGTTTATGTTATACAATACAACATACAACACAACATAAAAAACAGAATAGATTTTTATCAATTGATTTTGGCTTTGTGTAGTAGAAAACACTTGCTCCTATTTATTGCTTTTAAGGTAACAGAATTCAGAGAATGACTAATCTGCAGAGTCCACAATTTAAAGGATAGGGTTTAGGATACTTGAAAAAAATACAATAGCAATGCATTTGAGGAATAACATATTTTCAAAGCAATAATGTACTAACAATCAAAACATGGCATTTTTCAAAAATTTTCAACAAAATCTGAGCCTTCCTTCTATGTCTTCTCTGGTTGACACACTCAGTAATGCTGTAGATGATCTAACCAGTGCTGTTGGAGATGTCAGCTATACAGTAGCTGACTCAGTTACAGAACAGGTAACAAGTATGATCAACAGCCTTCGGACAGATGATACTGCTACCGCCCAAGAAGATAAATCTATAGTAGATAAAGAGGAAAATAAAGAGAAAGAAGACTTGAAAAATGTTACTTTTCCAAAAGATACTAGGCAGAACTGCAAGACATATAGAACAGATGAGTCCCTTAATAAAGAACTAAATCAAGAATTGCATGCTGTAGTAGAACAAAATGAGGGCCCGTTGCATAAAAAAGCAAAACAAAAATCACCAGGGCTTGACTTCAAAAACACCAAAGAAGTGCACAGTTTTGATTCCAGGAATTCAGAAAAAAATGAAGAGCAAACTCCAAAATTGCAGAAGTTAAAGTCTAAAAAAGCTCATGGGGTTCATGATGTAAAAGAAAAGAAATGCAAACCATTTTCGGATGGCCACAGACAGTCTGTAACAAAGCAGGAAGAAAATGCACCATCTATTCTTCCAAAAGAAAGTAAAAAGGAAAAGGCTAAGCAATCAGAATGTTTTTCAAAAGAAGTGAGTAGTAAGAAGACACCAGAAAAAGGTGAGGTGTCTTATATCATACTTTATCCATGTGGCCTTTCCTGGATCTTTTACTACATACTTCTTTTCCCAACTGTTTTTTTAGATTTCATTCATAATGATCTTTAAAACAGTCTCCTTAGTAGAAACTCTTTGTGATATGTATATTATTTTCTCTGAAATTTGCTTTATCTAATTTTATTCATACTCCTTGAAAACTGGTTACATATTTTCTTTCCTGATTAATGCTACTAACTTTTGAATAGTGATTAATCAACTTTTTTTAAAAAAAATATCTTTCTGTTCCCTTAAATTTTGCTACACCTTTCAACGGATTGCACTGGATAACAAGAATATTTTGTACATGATTCTTGAATTCTATATTTATATGCGTTTGTTTACCTGGTGCTTCAGGACATAGTGTGCAGATGTTGTTTTAGTATAAGAAATAATATCTGGGAACCTAACATATTATAAGCTACATATAGCTTTTCATGAGGGGTAATACTAAAAGTGAGAAAACTAACATACAAATCATGAAGTGGTAATGCAACAAGTCTAAAATATATATATCTAAAATGAATAAATATAATTGAAAATATATTTTCTCTAAAATCAGTCAATGCATAAGTTATAAAATAGGCTATTTCACATCTCTAATAATTGAAGGAAAACAAACATTTAAAGCCATTGCTAGCGAAACCATGAAGGTATCCCAAACTTTGCAGTTATACACAAAAACAAATGCTGACATAAATGTATCTATCTAACAAGAAGGATAAACCCCCTATATCAAGTTACAGAAGAGCTTTCTGAATCCACTAAGGGTGATAGGGCAAAGAGGGAAGACAAAACAAAATGAAATGCATGGGGGGGGGGAATCTTCCCTATGGGCAGCAGTAAAAAGCATGTATTTAGGAAACAACCTTGGTTCATCCCTTTAAAGGCCTGATTATTTCAGGCTAAAATAAATATTTCCAGGAATAACAGAAACAAAAAATAATTATGTTAGGGATAATACATTTATTGTGAAGTTTGAGCTCTTGCCTAAACTGGGTTAAAATGTGAACTATATTACCTTCTGTTTAGGGAAAAAAATGTATTAACAGTTAAATGTTTACCCATTATAATTTTAGCACTCTCCTTTATGGTGCCATCTGTTATCATTCCCCCCTCCTTTTTTTCCAAAATAGACAACTCATACATAAATAAAGATCAGCATGGTTCATCATCTGAAAGTGAAGATGAGGCACTGGGTAAATATCACGAAGCCTTATCCAGAACACAAAGTTCAAGGCCACCAGCAGGCGATAACAGACAACAGAAAAACTATATTTGGGAAACCAGACAAAAATATAGCCCTCTGTCTGCAGAGTATGATGGGTACAGTAGTGAAGCCTCAATAGATGAAGGTATGACATTATTTACAATGGTTTTTACTTCATCTTATTTCACATTCATCAAAAAACACCATAGGATAAAGATACAGCGGTTGCAAGATATTATCTGTAAAGGTGCCAGTAAAATCTAAAACCTTGACTGAAATAGTTAGGGATTTAGGGGGAAAGACTGGATTTCTTTTATTGATCTTTTACCTTCTGAGTGCTTAGAGCTTTCCAAGCATTTCACCTATATTCATATGGGAAACGTTTAACGAAAAGCGTAGCAGTTTACAATTTATTGTTATGTATGGAAAAGTTTGTAAACATTTCCTGATAATAAATTGCCTTTGGTATATGGTGGTTTTAGGGTGACTAGATGAAAAAGACAGGGCTCTGTGCCTTTAATAGCTATGTAAAAGAGGGGTTTTCAGCATGTGTTACTTGTCATACAAGCAACACCATTCCAAATTTACCTCCTCTATGCAGGTCTTAAAGGTGCGCTCCTCTTTTTCATCTGGTCACCCTGGTTCGCACTGACTCTGTTTATAAATGAGATTGTTAAGAAATCACTGTTGTTGTGAGCTAAAGGTACATGTTCTAGCCCTATTATATTCTTACTGGGATACCAGATAAGACATCCTCTGAGACTTCTATACCAGCTGGATGATAGAAAACTCACGTTTGAGAACTCTGGTGATGATCTGGTTCAGTTGTGTAACCATAGCTGAATTTATTTAGAGTTTTACATATATGTGTCAGTTTATTTAAGGACCTGTTCTGAGACAGAAAAAAAGTTAGTTGGGTAAATTAGGAAGAAACACATAATACTGATGACCTCTTGGCACATAATGTATGTAAATCACCTTGGAAGATGATTCATAAATGTATTCATCATCATTACCATACTGTAATGTCCAAGGGAATGCCCAGAGTGTCTAAGGTACCATACTATGTGTGACGCTTATCTTTTCTGCCTTAGATGACTTCTAATAAGGTAGTGGAATTCTGGTGTGTGCTCAGAATTTGGGTCAGGGAATCATCATCAAGTGATTCATCATCAACAACAGACATATAATTTTGGAATGGGGGCTAGTTAAAAGGGAGATAGAATCTGTCTCTGAGATAATAAAAGTAGGGCATAACTTTATTTGAATAGTTTGTTGTTTTGTCTTTCATCTGAAAGTCTCAGCTTCTCAACCAATTATGTTGTACATCCACTGTTGGATGAAATATATATTTGACTGCCAGTTGCTGAGAATCACTAGTAGGAATAGTGTGATTGTCCTCAGGTGTTTCTTGCAGGCTTCCCATAGGCATCTGGTTGGCCACTGTGAGAACAGGATGGATCACATGGGTCATTGGCTGATCCAAAAGGCTTTTTCTTATATTAATTAATATTTCCTGCTTCATTAGGGCATATTGTGTCAACTACTAATTAATGAACTGTTTTCATAAGTTATTTTTTTTGTAAATCCAAATTTCCCTAACAAAGAGTCTTACCAACTTTGGCCTTTCCAAAAATTAGAAAATGTTTGGGTGATGTTAACGAAATGCTTTTTCTTTCCACCTTTGAGATAGTTCCTTCTGCTTTTTCTTAAGGTAACTAAGTGTTTTGCGACCCTTTGGGGCAGGCATTACTTCTTCCCTTTCTAAAGTGGCAAATAAGTTTAGGCTCATTTTTCATCATAGTATAATAGTGGCAAGTCTTTAGTCAGCTTGAAAGGAGTCTTTGGGAAATGATCAGCATCCTAGTCTTACGTTCTTATAGGTAACAATACAGTCCATGTCCTCAGGCTTCCAGTCTAAAAGATACAATAAAAAATAAAAAATAGATTGATGTAGAAGAGGGGGGGGGAAAGCAAACCCAGGCACTAATGGTTAATTACAAAGAGTTCAAGGAAAAGAGGGATCCAAAGTGGCTGGTCTCTCAGAGTGACTTGCTTCTTTCTGCTGTCACCTGATGTGCTGGCTTCTGCCCATTGACAGTTGATTGGGGAGGAGCCTGGTTCTTTCTCTACAGACTGATGGTGACACTGCTTCCCTCATCTCCCTTTGATGTAGCCTCACTTTTAGGTAGATCATTGTCTTATGTTCAGTCAAGTTCCTAGCATGCTTTAATGATGTTATGACTATCATTGATCCTATTAGAATTTTAGCAGATTTTGACATGATGAAGTGTTGGTGCTATGGCTGGAATCCTTATGATTTTTCATAAGACACTGAAATAGGACATTGCTGAGTTGATCTGCTCGTTCCTGGAAGAGCAAGGATGAATGCCTGCTCATTACCTCTCTGGCTTCATGTGAAGTTCTCTAACGTTTCATAGTATTTCCTCTTCCCCTCACACTTGCCTATTCACTATATAGAGCCGGGGTCAGCAAACTTTTTCAGCAGGGGGCTGGTCCACTGTCCCTCAGATCTTGTGGGGGCCGGACTATACTTTGGGGAGGGAAAATGAATGAATTCTTATGCCCCACAAACAACCCAGAGATGCGTTTTAAATAAAAGCACACATTCTACTTATGTCAAAACACCAGGCAGGCCCCACAAATATCCCAGAGATGCATTTTAAATAAAAGGACACATTCTACTCATGTAAAAACACACTGATTCCCGGACTGTCCACAGGTCGGATTTAGAAGGCGATTGGGCCGGATCCGGCCCCTGGGCCTTAGTTTGCTTACCCATGATATAGAGGCTGTATTGAAATATATGGCAATTTGTAGTTAGAAGTAATTGATATGCAAATGACTATCACCTATCCTTCTCATCTGTGTAAGATTCTAGGCTTACCGGATGCTTGACTATTGCAAAAACTGGACGTGAACCATGCAAACTGATGTATTTATGATCAGCAGGCTTTGTGTCTAGTAAATGTGAGTGGGAGGGATTTGTAGTTCTTTCTAGATCTGATGGTATATTTGCACATTAGATTGTGTAAGGCATAGTGCAGGAATACTGGTGAGAGACCAGGAAACTCTCTAAAATAATAAAGTGTTGGCTCAGGGGGACAATACAACCTGCCATGCCCTTCTTCTGACAATCCAGCACTCTGATCTTTCTTCTGTAGTATCAAACGTACTAAATGAAAACATTTCTGATTCAACTCTATGTAGCTATTCTATCCCTCTAAGTCATACTCCAAGTAGACACTGAAACCAATGGACTGATTTCATAATGACTAACGTGTCATTCATTTCAGTAGGTTTACTCTGAGTATTAGTCAGGTAGAGTAAATTAAGATTTACATTTGTGTTACTGGAAGCAACACAGCACTAGGTTTGTAAATAGCCAGTCACTTTCTCAATAGGAGTGAGTCAGAATTGCCATAGGTCTTCATCCGATAGGGTGCAGCCTAATGGGTTGCAGCCTGATTCAAAGTAGGTCGCAACAGGAGTACTTCCATCATATGGTAAAAGATTAAGAAAATATTAAGAAATGGGTCCTTAAATGCATGTTTGGGTTACAAGACACCTGCTCTAGGTGACCAAGTAGGACAACTTTTGCTGATAGAAATGGAGCTGGCTCTCTAGGACAGGGAAGGGGAACCTGTGGCCTCTAGATATTTTGTGTACTCCAACTCCCACCAGTCCCAGCCAGCATAGCCAAATGACAGGGGTGATGGGAGTTGCAACATAGCATAACATCTGGAGGGCCAGGAGTTTCTCATCCCTGTTATCTTCCCCACTCTTTATGGTTCTAGCAACATACCTCTTGATTGTTGTTGTTTAGTTGTGTCCGACTCTTCCACTGCCTCCCACAGCTTGGTCAAACTCATGTTTGTAGCTTCGAGAACACTGTGCAACCATCTCGTCCTCTGTCGTCCCCTTCTCCTTGTGCTCTCCATCTTTCCCAACATCATGGTCTTTTCCAGGGAGTCTTCTCTTCTCATGAGGTGGCCAAAGTATTGGAGCCTCAGGTTCACGATCTGTCCTTCCAGTGAGCACTCAGGGCTGATCTCCTTAAGAATGGCTAGGTTTAAACTTCTTGCAGTACATGGGACTCTCAAGAGTCTCCTCCAGCACCATAATTCAAAAACATTGATTCTTCGGCGATCAGCCTTCTTTATGGTCCAGCTCTCACATCCATACATCACTACTGGGAAAATCATAGCTTTAACTATGCGGACCTTTGTTGGCAAGGTGATGTCTCTGCTTTTTAAGATGCTGTCTAGGTTTGTCATTGCTTTTCTCCCAAGAAGCAGGCGTCCTTTAATTTCGTGGCTGCTGTCACCATCTGCAGTGGTCATGGAGCCCGAGAAAGTAAAATCTCTCACTGCCTCCATTTCTTCGCCTTCTATTTGCCAGGAGGTGATGGGACCAGTGGCCATGATCTTCGTTTTTTTGATGTTGAGCTTCAGACCATATTTTGCGCTCTCCTCTTTCACCCTCATTAAAAGGTTCTTTAATTCCTCCTCACTTTCTGCCATCAAGGGTGTATCATCTGCATATCTGAGGTTGTTGATATTTCTTCCGGCAATCTTAATTCCGGCTTGGGGTTCATCCAACCCGGCCTTTCACATGATGAATTCTGCATATAAGTTAAATAAACAGGGAGACAATATATAGCCTTGTCGTACTCCTTTCCCAATTTTGAACCAATCAGTTATTTCATATCCAGTTCTAATTGTAGCTTCTTGTCCCACATACAGATTTCTCAGGAGAAAGATGAGGTGATGAGGCAGTCCCATTTCTTTAAGAACTTGCCATAGTTTGCTGTGGTCGACACAGTCAAAGGCTTTTGCATAATCAATGAAACAGAAGTAGATGTTTTTCTGGAACTCTCACTAAAAATTGGCTCACACTATCAGTCTATTGCTTGTGCAATGTAACTTCAGAAATCTGAACTCACATGTGATCTCAGCATTTCAGTCAAAACAAAAAAGGAGTTTGATCTTACATGACTTTGCAGCTTTAATGTTAACAGTGCTGAAGTACATGGACCGTTTAAACACAAGTTGTCTTTCAGGGTATTGTTATACTGACTCTTATACTAGAAGCATCAGCGCATATTCTCATAAAATGTATGAA